TTTAATGGCTTGTAGCTTCGTCCATAGAAGCGGGAAGCAGATAAGAAAGATAGATTCGAAGTCAGCGTTTTATACTGCATCGAATGGTATATGGTTTAGTTTGGCCACTTCGACTTCTGACCATTCCCTTGTTAGATACAAAAACCCTTCAAGAACTGCTGACTTATGTATACACAGCAAGATGCTCTTGTATTGGGTTGATGCAGAAATAATAGCCGATTTGCGAGTTCACTTCAACGTGTTGAAACTTTCTGAAAAATCCACACTTGTGATCGCAATAAAAACCATCAAAAGCAGCGATTCTTTCGCAATACAGCGCACATTCACATATATTAGGTCGTTCCGAAAGCAATGTCGCTTTTTTCGAATGAACGCCATTATTCGTGGAATCAACATTTCTAAGAGACCTTAGGAGCATTCGATGCAGCATTTTATCCTCTTTCTAATGGCTCTAATTGCACTGCATAATGTTTGATGAGCTCTCGAAAAATTACCAAAATCTGCTACTCATGCTTTTTGCCATGCTCAAGTTCGGCTATTTTTCTAAATTTTTGTACCTAATCTCCGAAGAAGTGCAAGTGGCAGGTAGATAGAGCAAACACTATAGAATACAGAGTAATTTTTTTTCCCTTAGCTTGCTTCTCAGAGTTTCTACAACCAAATTCTCAATGCCATCAAATTTCATATTTAGTCAAGTCAAACCTCACAGAACAACAACCGGCAAGCGACTTCGGCGTCATTCGATGCAGCTTTTTCTCCTCTTTCTAGCGGTTGTTTTTTGTTTCCGATTCAACAAGTTTTCCGGGACAAAATCATCATAATTCAACTTTTCCAAGGCACCCCAAGGTGTACCCGAAATTTTTGAAAGTTGCTAAACGGTAGCGGTGAATGCTCGTTTGGTTTGTAAAATTGTTGTCAAACCATAATCCATCTTTGTAAGTTTCAAAATCCGAAGACTTGTTGGCGTTTGATGCACTTGTGTCTGAGACGAGCCTGCTAAAATTCGGTGGTTCCATCAAAAAATCTGTACAAAAATTACAACGAGCTCTGAAAAGTGGAAAAAAGTCGTGCTGTTTTCTGTAGGGTTTGCTCCATCCATCCATTACTTGGACTCCTTCTGAGGTTTGTTATAACATTTTAGAAAAATTGTGAAATCTGGCCATTTCAAAGCATAGGTCGCATTTGACTCTTTTCTACAAGCTCATTGACTGTATTGCAACAACTTCATAACCATTAGAAAGAGAATGAAATGCTGCATCAACTGCTACCAGAATCTCTTACATAATTTTGTTCCACGAGATATGGCATACATTTGAAAAAAGCGACATTACTTTCGGAACGACCTAATACTTACATCACAAATAGGCAGAAAAAATGGATTATAGAACTAAAACATTTCTTTAAATCCTGTTTTCGATGTGCCATAATTCCCTTCAAAAATTGTAGTAAGATGAGCTGCCTACCTTGTAGCCGCAAGCCTTAGGATAAAAGAAGATAAAAGGGATTCGAACAGAGAAGATATTTGCGAAGAGAAATAAAAATCCAAATTTGTCAAATTTTTGGACATTCTTCAGTAGGCCTCAAAGTCCCGATTTATAGAATTTTGTGATTTTTTGAGTACTAAACGGGTAAATTTTTCTGCAAAAAGTGTCGACAGATTACTCTACTCTTGCGTTTCAGAAGTGAGCAGAACTTTGGCGATTGCCTTTTTTCAGAAGAAACTTATGGGTCATAGAATGACCATGTTTAGGCGCCGATATTTCAGTCTAGATGATTTGAAAGAAACTAGTCAAGTGTGTGTAATGTAGACAATTTCTTTCACATACAGTATCTAAATTTCTGAAGAAGCCCGTCTATTCGCATTTGGATTATTGAGAAAAGCGAATGCAATTAAACTTCAAACTTGGATGCGGTTATTTAAACGTCTGTAACGTTTTGACAGGTGAGGAGCCCACATCAACAATCAACAAGTGGAGCATGAAAATACCTTCTCAGTGCTGTGCTGTGTTTGTTTCAAAAAAATGAGAATTGACTGAAAGAAGCTGGCCTGAATGTTTGAGAAAACGGCCAATTTTTTTCTGCATCGACCTAATAGTTTCAAGGGAAGATTTCAGGTACTTACTTTCGCGTCAATTTCAGTGGGCGGCCGCACTCGAGGAAAAAATCCTTCTAACTTTATCCAAAAAAACATCTGCAATTACAAAACACAGATCCAGTAGTGTTGCTCTGGAGCCAACAGTATTCATGTAGCTTATTCGGTTGCTTACTCTGCTCTCGAAATTTAGTCGCACCATTACGCGATTAAGAAAAATTCAAAAAGATTTTCGCCCTTATCTAAAATTCTAATGAAAACCTCGTCTTGACTTTTTTCTATAAGTATGACCGTTCATTAGTAGATTTAGTACAACAAACTTGACAAAATGACTGCCAATCACACCTGCAAATAATGTCACTGTTCTTGCTTGCCTTTTCCTTTCACCTACTGTATAATGCCGTTTTTTTTCTTCAAAACTCTGTGGGGGCGACTCCTCATCACGCTTTGGAATTAATCAACTACTTATTCATTACTCATAAGTTACTCATATGCGCAACGTTTACTGATCATAGAACCCAGTCAGAGCTGAAATCAAAAGAAAAAAATAACCCAAAACAAGAGTACCTATCTCACTTCCCAACATACTTGTAAGTAGTGGCGACCGAAGTTTCGACCAATCGTCTTCTCAGAAAGCCTATGGATTGAGTATATATGAGGTGTGGTAAATCTATATAATATTGAGTCAACTAACAGACACAGCTAGCGGGCTTACTTAATGCCATCTAATGTACTATAGCTTTTTGCGCTTTGGATTTCGTAATCTGTGAATCAAAGTGTAATTTTTATGCACTAGAGCGCTGCCTTTTTGAATCTTCAAATTTTCTTAATTCGAAATTAGGACATATCTTACATATAAAGCTGAATGTCTGTTTGTCTGTCTGTCTGTATGTATGTATGTGTGTACGGTATGTTCCGAATAGAAAATTCCATTTCTGAACCGATCCGGACCAAACTTGCCACACATACACATCGGGCCCCGGCGGGTGTCATAGGCCACTTTTCGTCATCGATCGATATCGATTTTATCGATTTTTTGTAAAATTTGAGCTACGGGAAGCAGTGGTATCAACGCAGAGTACTGGGGGTAATCGAGCATGATTACGAATATAAAAGACAGGGCCGGGCGGAGCCGGGTAAGTCAACTAGTGATTTATAATGCACAATAAATAAAAATGATAATAGTATAATATAACAATAAGTATATAAAAAATACTGCACACAATTTTCTACAAAGCTCGGAACATGTTTGCTATAGTCGTCCTCCCCCCATTAGACACCTAGTGGAGGAATTTGAATTTGAATCAGAGCACACCGGTTGCAGAGGAGCGCGCCACCTGCAGCCCTTACTTCAATCATAAACTGATTTTTTTGTGTTTTTCCGACGATTCATTGTACTTTTTAAATGTTAACAGTTTTTTTCAATCAGAATGGAAAACTTTGTTGCCTGTAAGCGAAACTTCATGCTGTTATGCTCCTTTCAATTCTGACTCCAGGTTGAGTTTGAAGAAACGACTAAGTTTGGAAATATGCTAGTGAAAACTTTTTCGGTAAGTGTCCTGAAGCTGCTCCATAAGACTTCTTGCCCAAAAACTCTAACCTTACCTGAAAACGGGGCTGAAGAAATGAGCATAGAAGTATGAAACATCTGACCAACAACAAACTCGTCGATTGTGATTTGAAAGGGTGACTAAAACCAAAAAGAATCACCATGCAACGACGAGAAAACACGAAATAATACTCCATGAGCTTAAAATGAATGTAAGTGTGCCGCGCTCTGCCGCGATCGGCATGTTCTAGTTCAAATTCAAACTCGTCCACTAGGTGTCTAGTGGGGGGAGGACGACTATAACAGTGCTTACGATAGAAAACTTTGCGGTTCCAAATGAAAAACTAAAACTCTCGTTATATTCACCTAAACGCCGCTCAGATCAAGGAAAAGGAGCAGGAGGTGCTGCCAGGGCTACAAGCGATGGTCATAATTTATACGGACAGAGTTTGCATAGTTGTATGATTTTTTGTGAACGAATCCATGAGGTACTAGGTGCAAATAAACTCAAAGAGCTTGTTTATCCGGATCAGCAATAATGTACCCTAATTTTACGCGTACAAGGCGCGGGGGATTTTTTTTCCAAAATTGACTAGCCCAAATACGCCAAAGAACTTTGCAGCCAAAGGACCCTATGCCGTGCTGTACATTGCTCAAAAGAATCGTAGGGCATAGGGATCGCTTTAAATGCTTTGGAGCGGCTGAGGGGCTTGATTGAAAAATAAAAAAGGTGCGCCTTGTACGCGTGAAATTAGGGTACTAATTGTTTTTATTCACTTAGCGCAGTTATGAACAGAACTGAGCATGACCTTCACATTATTAAACAAATGCTGTGCCAGCCACTACATGTTTGTGCAGCTTGAACAACCAACAGTATAAACTTCTAGCAGTCGCACAAGTTGATGAATGCTTAAAATGAGAGCAATCCTAATATGGATCCTAATAACGTAAAATTCTTGTCACTTTTGCTTTTTTGTTCCTTACTTTGGCACGGCAGCGCATTCGCTTCGCAGTGCTTTCTGCGACAGCTAGCTCTACTGCAGCATATCCTTATCGTTTGAACAAATTCAGTCTGCTAGTCTCAAAGGATATTTTGGTTGGCGGCAATTTCGACATCGTGAAATTTTTGTTACAGTGACCTCACCAATTCACGGCGTTATTTACGAAATTAAATCAAATGTGCCTCTCATAAAAATTGACGTTAGGACAAATGTGTCCCTCTGTTTACGAAATTTTGGTGTTTAAAAAACGGTCTAGTTACGCTGATTTGCAGGTATACACGTCACCGAAATGAAAATTTTCCTCTTTCTGGTATTTATCCTCGTAGTGTGAGACGCGGGAAAAAAGGAAAAAAAGGATATGCCAAGACTCGGCTACGAGTCTCAGCTGTGCAATTCCCTTAAAGACCTCAAAGCGTACGTTTAGATCATGATGCTTTATGGAGACGCACAATAATCTTATCGTTGCAGGGAGAAAGAAGTTACCGGCTGCTTTGGCTGCTTTAGCTGCTTTTTCAAGAAAAAAAAGAAAGATGGGGAGGAATTACCAGATTATGTACCGCCATACCACAACGCAACAGACCCTATCTGCCAGTGTGAGGAGTGCTTTTTATTTAGGTACGTTTGCATCATGCTGCTTTATGCGGGCGCACAATAATTTTATCGTTGCAGGGAGCGAGAACGAAATAGTCTCGGAAGGAAACTGGAAGACTGTTTCTTGGAATTTTTGGAGTGGCTCGGAGATGACGGTCTTGGTGACGGATTTGCAAGGAAATTCTTAAAAGAGTGCCAGCGGTAATACCATACTTTCGTATGCCAACATAAAGTTGTTGTTGCACTTGGTCTACACGGATGAAAACACGACCATAATACACAAAAAGAAGAGTTTTATCAATTTGAGCAATTGAAAAGACTAATACTGGCACCTTTCTCGCATTTGCGAATGCTTCAAATTTTTTATTCAAGAGTATCCCAACGCCTTAAAAATTTTATTCAGTTTAGTTATAATGCTCTTTAGAGTTATATGTTGTAAAAGAAAGAAAATTGTTGATACCTGATTGAGTTGAAGCTAAAGAATTTCTAATGTTGATGCGATGGTAGTTTCAAAGAGAACAAAAGGGCTACCATAGAAAATGGTGCATGAGGGCCGATTCACCCAGCTGCCCCTCCTCTTGTTTCTATTTCCAATTTTTTTTCATGGTGCGTTTTGCTATAGCGATGCTCAACGCCATGTTCTACACAAAATCGGTTTTTATAAACTTTGCTCATTTGCTCGAAACCCCTCATTGTGCTCTAGTGACTTACAGCTAATCTTATCAGAAAAATTAATGGAGTCTAAACCATAATATTTGAGTGGAAATGATAAAAACTTATCAGTCAACTTGTCAAAAATTTGGATCTAAACTAGCCATAAAATTACATTTTTTCAACGATTTTTTTAGAAAAAATACATAAAGTGTCACCCTCCTTAGCGATAGAAGAGAATCCAGATCTCAGCATGTTGGCACTTTCGTTTTGACAAAGATTTCGGAGTTGGTTTTCATAGTAAGAGTTTGATTTCAGTCGCAAGCGTATAGTCAAATTTTAAAATCGTCTTATTCCGGGAAAAATAAGAGCAGAGTCTGCTTCACGTATGCGCTTTAGAGGCAAGATGCCCACTCGTTTGCGAGCGTTGCGGGCGCGCACATCCACGATTGCGGAAAGGGAATGCAACCTTGACACAGACTGTATAAGATGACTGAGCTCATAACTCGGATGGAAAAAACGGTGTTCGGCGTATTATTCGCGGCAGAACCGTCTGAAGCTCATAACTTTGTTAAAAATCGTTTTTATAAGTTACTCTGCTCATTTTTGGAGAGCTACTGGCACAAGGAATCAGAAAAATATAAACTATTTCAAAATCGCCCGTCTACAAGAGAATCAACACTATCGCGGCAAATTCAAATCGCACGGTCTTAACTTAATTTAGAGTAGGAATCTTTGATTTCTGTTTGCATTTTTGAAATGTTGACATCATAATGGTTGAAAAAACATGACAGTCTCTCAAAGTACCCTTTTGGGGAGATTTTAGCAGATTTGCGATAGAAAAACCGCCACCAAACCGTCGCAACTGCATAACAACTTGGGAAAGTGATTTTTTTTCTAATTTTTTGTTTTATAAGTTCCCTAAAATTGCGATGATTGCCAGCATAGAGTATTTTTGATAAAAAAAAGTTTTGGGCTCAGTTGTACTATTTTTGTACAAGTGCACACTCATTTAATCCTTATAATTTACATTCCGCTCTGCAATGACCAAGTAGTACTAATGCCTCTTTATGTTGACTTTACAGTCAATTCTACGCATAAACAAAAATACGGACAGATTTTTTTCAACATGTGGTGCTTAACATTAAATTCGAAAGCCATTTAGTCTGCTTTTTATTTCTATTGCAAAATTTCTAGTCAGTTTCAACCACAGTTGAAATGGACTAGATTTGCAATAGAAATACAGAAGTACATTTCTCTGAGAATAATTCCAGATATGATATTGTTGCTTACCTGGTTATTAGTGTTCGCTACCCTATTCTCTGCGAATGCCCAATGGATATACGGATGGAGACCTTATGAAATTGGCGTCTATGGTGGTCCCGGCTTTGGCTACGGGTTATACGGATATCGTAATAGCACTGCAAGAGGTGCAATACGAGGAGCAATTGCTGAAGCTCTCACTCGTGAGGGTAAAATACATTCATTATTATTATTCGCATCTCGTATGTGTTGATCATTATTTTACCATCTGCTAGGCAATGACAAGTACGAGGGAAAGAGACAATGTGATTTTGCAGCTCTTCTGAGATTGTCTGATAAACTTAAGGTCCTCAAGATAGGAAATTAGTTCAAAATTAGAAACCTACCAGTTCTACCAGTTCACTATATCTCAAATGGGAAAACTATAGGTAAAAAATCATCACAAGGGTCATTTTCCAGGTAATATAGATTTATCTGAGCGTGGCAGCTCGATCTCGGCTATAATCTGTGAAAGTCGTGAAAATGTTTCTTATAAATGTGCTCAATTTTTCTTTTGAAAAAAATAAAAATCTACACCATACAAAACGATGATCATTCCGTATAATACATACATACAGCCTGTGTCAGCAGTGCACTCCCTTTCGCGACCAATCGCCACGCCTGAGCTTCGCGCTGCGTTCGCGGTATGAGATGATGCATCATTGGTTGATGGTCCGCATGCGAGGCCCAGGCTTGTGGGTGCGTAATCACTACGCAAAAGGGAGCCCATCATCGACACAGAGTACACATCAATTATATGGAAAAACGGACCTAAATGTCTTTTCCTCCCTGGGAACTCGATAATAGTCTTAACTAATTTTGTAGAAAGTTGACGAAATCAAAAAAAACGCCTTGTTTAACGAATATTCTTTTCGTCTTCAACATCAATGAAATAAATTCGACTTGAATTCATGCATGGCAATATTATATGCTTCGTTAATTTTATTATTTTGTGAGTAAATTTGAAAAGAGATAGCGAGTGGAAATATGTAAATTACTACGCATCGATAAGAAAATAGGTACTTTTTCTTCACTACAATAACGTGAGCCCTAAGCATTTACTTTGGTACATTTTCTCTGCCGTGCTGCATCTCGCCCGGGTATGTAAAGCCGCGTCGCGGCAATTTCTAACTGCCACCCACAAGTAATGCTTCCCCCCCCCCTTCCCTCTGTCAGAGCTATAGGTATGACCATCAATTGCATAGCTGTATATTTTTCGTAAACGAAACCAAAAGTAGGTGCAAAAAAAAACTCAAAACGACTGTTTATATGTGGACCGGCAATAATATTGATTGTTAATGATTATTTCGTTTTGAACAGGACTGAGCGCGATCTCCAAGTCATTGAATAAATGCTGTGTATTCTAATCGCTACTGTTTGGGCAGCCTGAACAACCAACAGTTTGAAAGATTCTCAATAACACAAGACAGCGTGTGTTGAATGAGAGCGATCCTAACATGGATCCTAACAACGTGAAAAATTTCGTCATTTTTGCTTTTTTTGTATGTTCTCATTAAGTCTTTCTATGGCCGGCAGCGCATCCGCCTCGCAGTCCTCTGCAACAGCCAGGGTCAAGCGAGCTGATGCGATCCGAGACCCTCATTTACGACCCCCCCCCCCCTCATCTACCTTCCACCGCCCTCCCTCCTTCACTTCCTTTTGCGGTAACCTGCACGAATGTCAATCTAAATGCCTGTCAATGGACCTCAAATTATAGGTCAGAGAAAGATAGCTAATTAGAAATTGAGAGATAATGCAAGTAATGCTTCACCACTCAAAAAAACAAATAATTCTACTAGAGTGGATAAGTAGTAAAATTTTACGAACTGGCTATGCTTATTGTGATAAAATATGAATGGAAAGGACATCATTGACAAAGCAGAACATCGATTTTGATTTGAATGGTAATTAAGCTGTACTCTACCTATAAAAAATAAAATAAAATAACAACCAAGAAAAATTCAGCAGTACGCGGTTCACTTCAGTCATTATAACTGACTATTTTATAATAACTCCTTTTCTAGTGAAGGTTAATTAACTTTTCTGCTGTTTATGGATGTTCGGCGTGATTCTTTCATGGTCCAATAGTAACGAAGGATACAGACTGTGGTTCTGGAAATTAGAACGTTTTAGACTCTAATGACAGTCCCGTTTCTATCCACGTACCAGACAATATTTTTCTGCAAGGAGAAAAAACGATATCTTTGAAGCGCAAAAATTGTTTTCGACTAAAAAGCTTACTATCTATCTTACACAGATTCTCCTGCGAAAAAAAGCCGTTCTAGCGCCTTCCAGAACGAAGCTAAAAACGTACATTAGCACGGTATTTTAAGAATTCGTAACTAAGGACAGGGAAAAACTGAGAGGCTGCAATGAATAGGCTGTGTAGTATTCTGCCTATACTATCCATGGAAAAGTTTAAGCCATTGAGGAGCAGTGAGCTCGAAAAAATCTAGATGCGACTCTCGCGAATTTAGATGCGATCCTAAAAAGCAAAAACTGGGATTTTTAAGCTTGTAATTTTGTAACTCACCGGAGAAGTTATGAAACAGCCTAAAATTTTTATGGCAGAAAGTAGAAGGACGGCCTCGTAACATAGCAAGATTGCAGCGAGCAGGCCTCCATAGCGGCGAAAAAATTTAGATGCGACCCAGATACGAGACCCCTTTTTTCATTTTTTGTCGCCACATATAAAATTTTAAAAAAATCCACAGGCTATGAAATATAGTTAGATTTTGCACTTTCTAGCAGTGCATCTTCAAAGTACAGGTAAATTGTATGGGCCCTCGAAAGACATGACAAAAAAGTTTCAAAAATTATCGGTGGTCATTGCTGGTAGAGATGAGCGCTTTTGTCGAGAGTGTGAGACTTGAGTGATGCTTCTGAACCAGAATTTCCAGGCCAATTGGTACAATTAACATTCGTGTCACTCATATATGCCTAGTGTTTGAGCTTCTAAAAGTGTCGGAATCTTCGGTCGTACTTGTGGCCAGCAAGTTCGATCCCGTCTGCGACACATTTTTTGCAAGGAGAAAAAGCTGTTTTTTGAAGAGTAGAGAATGTTTGCGACTAAGAAGCTTATTTTCTACACTTCACACTTTTTTGATTCGGACCACCCTCGATTACCCCCTCCCCCCCACCGCCGGTGCCCCCTTTACGCCCCGTTGCGACAGTCGCAACACGCTTGACCATGGCAACAGCAACAGGTGATCTCAAATGCAGTGTCGGGTGCAATAGCAGCTCGTTCCTGCA